TCGGCTCACGAAGTGCTGAGACAACCATACTCTGAGCGGGGTTCGCACAACTGCTCAGCCGCTACTCGCTCCATGGGTTTTAGGTCCATGTCCCGCTCTCTATCTGCCTACCTGAAAACATGGCCACCATCTCGTGTTCAGGACAAAAGGCACGAATGAACTTTGTAATGAAGAAACTGTCTATACTGTTCGTGAGATCTGAGCGCTATTCACCTATCTGTTGCGCTCAGATCTGAGCTACCTAACGAATGGTTGAAGGGAAGATGTGGCTATTTAAATATTAAAGTTATATATTTTTATACTGTTTTACCTGTTAAAATATAACGTGGGATTTTGGGCACTTGGAGATAACTGAATTGTCATAACCGTTGGATTCATTATCTCCAAGCTGGGCGGTAACAATTTCAAATGATTGTAATGCCATTGTTCAACTGGTTGTATTGTCCCTGTATCCCATCAGGTCCAGAGGGGGCCATGCCTTAAACTCAGTTAATTTTGACTCTCAAATCACAGCTTCGACTCGTTTTGTGGGGAAAAGGGTGTCCTAGCTGTACCATAGCTAGTGGGATTGCTTTATATTCACAGGATTCTCATGGTATGCTGATCGGAACGGCTCTTCTCTCTCTCCACACTCGGGAACCAGGACATCCAAGCGGTCCAGCCTTCAGCTAGCTTGGAGGTAACCGTAACAACACCCATTACAAATATGGCACACAGCCAACACATCACACAATCACGTCTGACACACACACATGATAAGTGGTAAGGAATGCATTGTGTGAATGCAATGTAATGACAGGGAAGAAGGGATAAATGTTTGTTTTTAAATTTTCATTTAATAAATCCCCTATACACATGGAGGGGCCCGGGGGGGGGGAGGGGGTGCTGTTAAGATTTTCCACACAGGGCACCTGAAAGCCTAAGGCCAGACCTGTTCACAACACATCACAGATGGAGTGGGAGACATGGTGGCCCAGGATCATGAAGTTGAAGAAAAAATGAAGGAGGTGGTAGAAGTAGTGAACAACCACAATGCTGACCTCCAGGATCTTAAAGGAACACTATAGGGTCAGGGACACAAACCCTATAATGTTCAGACCACCATTAGGTGGCTTGCCCCCATTAGTACTCTTAGAAAGGGTTAAAACTTAGCTTTGGCACCCGATCTGCCTCTTTTTCTGACATCATCAGAAGTGATGATCTCAGCTATTCCAATGCTTTTCCATTGTATGATCACGCGGACATTCAACTATCTATAGCAGTTTCGAATATAACCAGACCCTGGACATGGCGTTTGAACCTGCTCTTGCTACAAGACAAAATCACAGTCCACACTAAAGATATCATAGACTTCCTCTCCAATGCCATAGTGGACACATCACCTGAAATACTATGGGCTGCCCATAAAACACACAGGAAACTTATCTCCATGTCTACCCACCTTAAAAGCAATATCTAAAACAGATCACAGACACCATGTGAGAACTACGACGACTGACGACTGGACACACAACATAAGTGATGACCCACAACTAACAACTAACAGCAGCCAGGGACCTACTAAACTACTGGTGCCTCCAGAAATTTTGGGGCCCCTGACACAGCTCAAGGTCTGGGCCCCCCGGTGCCTGCACCCGAGTCCGCACCCCCCGAGTCCGCCCACAGGGATGCAGTGTCTGCAGGGCCGGTGCAAGGATTTTTGCCGCCCTAGGCAAAAGTAAAGTTTGCCGCCCCCCATGTGACATCACAATGCCCCACCCATATGATCTGCCATGTTAACTAACACAGTGCTGCAGTGCCGCCGTGTTTACAATAAAAGGCCTGCAGGGACAGGCTATAGACACCAGAACCACTACATTAAGCTGCAGTGGTTCTGGGGACTATAGTGTCCCTTTAATGTGAGGTAAATTAGAGATTAGTGCCACGAATAATATACTAGATTGCCTACTTACAACCAGATGAGAATGATGATGGGCTCTAGCTGCCGTCTGGCTCCACTGGTCTGGTGTAGAACAGGCTCTCTGGAGGCGGTTTGTAACTGTGGTCACAAAAATCAATGTTCTGGGAGAACGGGAAGCAGCTCCATTTTGTTACCACCCGCTTTGAGACAACTAACTGCTATTCAATCTATAATTGATGTTTGTTTCACAGGCAGAAAGTGCCCTAAAACATGGCGGCTTGAACCCTAGTTGGTGGCGGATAAGTCACGCAAGTCAACCGGCATTCAGAGCTAAAATACAGCAGCGTGTGGACCATTTTTAGCCCAAGGCAGCTCATCTCATCAGGCCTTTTTTAATCGAATGTATCGCCCAGTGTCAGTCCCTTTGGGATCCATCCCTCATTCATCTTAATAAAGGTGAGGTAATCTAGACTTTTTTGACCTAGGCGACTTCTCTTCTCAGTGACAATACCTCCTGCTGCACTGAAGGTCCTTTCTGACAGGACACTTGAAGCGGGCAGGCCAGAAGTTCTATCGCAAATTGGGATAGCTCAGGCCACAGGTCAAGCCTGCACACCCAGTAGTCAAGGGGTTCATCGCTCCTCAGAGTGTCGATATCTGCAGTTAAGGCGAGGTAGTCTGCTACCTGTCGGTCGAGTCGCTCTCTGAGGGTGGATCCCGAAGGGCTGTGGCGATGCGTAGGACTTAAAAAGGTCCGCATGTCCTCCATCAACAACACGTCTCTAAAGCGTCCTGTCCTTGCCGGCGTGGTCATGGGAGGAGGAGGATGACTTCCACCTCTCCCCTGTTAGATTCCCGTTGTGCTGTGACATCACCCTTATACGCTGTGTAAAGCATACTTTTAAATTTATTTTGCAAATGCTGCATCCTTTCCGACTTGTTGTAATTCGGTAACATTTCCGCCACTTTCTGCTTATACTGGGGGTCTAGTAGCGTGGACACCCAGTACAGGTCGTTCTCCTTCAGCCTTTTTAAACGAGGGTCCCTCAACAGGCACGACAGCATGAAAGACCCCATTTGCACAGGGTTGGATGCCGAGCTACTTATTTCCCGTTCCTCCTCCTCACTGATGTCAATGAAGGTATGTTCTTCCCCCGAGCCACGTACAACACCACAGGTACTAGATAGGTGACAACGAGCACCCTGGGATGCCTGTTGTGGTTGGTCTTGCTCCTCCTCCTCCTCAAAGCCACATTCCTCCTCTGACTCCTCTTCCTCACAATCCTCTTCCAGCGTTGCCGCTGGTCCAGCAAGCGATGCTGATAAGGCTGTTTCTGGTGGTGATGGTGACCAGAACTCTTCCTCTTCACGCTCATCTACGGCCTGATCCAGCACTCTTCGCAGGGCACGCTCCAGGAAGAAAACAAATGGTATGATGTCGCTGATGGTGCCTTCGGTGCGACTGACTAAATTTGTCACCTCCTCAAAAGGACGCATGAGCCTACAGGCATTGCGCATGAGCGTCCAGTAACGTGGCAAAAAAATTCCCAGCTCCCCAGAGGCTGTCCTAGCACCCCGGTCATACAAATATTCATTAACGGCTTTTTTCTTGTTGGAGCAGGCGGTCGAACATTAGGAGTGTTGAATTCCAACGTGTCGGGCTGTCGCAAATCAAGCGCCTCACTGGCATGTTGTTTCGCCGCTGGATATCGGCAAAGTGAGCCATGGCCGTGTAGGATACGGCAGTGTCACGCCGTCTTGGGTTTGACTTGCTTGAAAGCAGAGAGTCCCACCGGACAAGCACTCCTTTCCGCCCTGAACGCACAGGTGGAAAAGTGGCTTACTCCGCAGCGACTGGATATCGGCAAAGTGGTTTTTGACAACGGAACAAATTTGTTAGCGGCATTGAAGTTGGGCTAGTTGACACATGTGCCGTGCATGGCACATGTGTGTAATCTGATCGTACAACGCTTTGTGCATAAGTACACAGGCTTACAGGACGTCCTGAAGCAGGCCAGGAAGGTGTGTGGCCATTTCAGGCTTTCCTACACGGCCATGGCTCACTTTGCCGATATCCAGCAAAGTAGATGTAGAAATAAATAGATTCATAACAGTACTGCCGTGTGCTTGCCTATAAAGTCCTAAAGAGAATGGGTAGATAGAGGGGGCGTGTAGGGCCAGATTTCATAAATGGGTTGGAGTCAGGCAGAGTAAATAGAACTGGAAGTGGATATTCCTAATAACTCAGTCCCTATCCACTTGTGCCTTCGAGGGCACCCCTTAAGTAAAACCTGATACACCTCCTACTGGCTAAGGAAAATCTATACAACTCCTCCCTCCCTGGTAAATCAAAAGAACTGCCGTTCTTGTGCTGGCAGTGTTGTTGACTGAAAGCGGCAGGAGGAATTTAAATTACCCAGTACAATAATAACAGTGCTGCTCTCTGAGAACAGTGGCTTATCCTAAATTAAGGAACTCAGTGTGCAGATATGTCAAAGGACCACTCAAAGCAAACTATGAGCGGGTAGCGCCGTTGCAAGCCTGCTCATGCTACAGCAGGGATTAAGGGATTCACTGATGGTACAGTGGCAATGGATAATGCCAGGTCAGTGCCCCCAGTGTGTAAAGATACAAGCATCTTTTTTTATAAACTTCCTAATCGTGGTATCTGGTTTCCACTAAACTATGTAAATATAAGCCAAATTCCTCTAATTTATGTTGGAGATGTAAAAAAGACGTAGGAACCCTAAAACACATTTGGTTGGACTGTTCTCCTCTCGGATATTAAGCTGATTATTTTACATTTGTCTAGAGACCTTAAAGTTAATATCTCTGATCTAACTTCTGAGAAATTTCTTTTTCATCTTGATTTTCCTGAGATGTCTAAGCCTACTCTCTGTTTGATAGTCCATATCCTGATGACTACAAAACTTTGTATCTCCAGATATTCCTAGCATGACAGAAAGTAAAACCCAAATAAACTATCAAGGGAAAATGGAAAAAACTATTTTCTTTAATAAGGGGGATCCCAAAAAATATAATAAAATTTGATGTTTGGTTTGAATACTGTAACTACACTGAACAAAATTATAAAAGCAACTTTTGTTTTTGTCCCCATTTTTCATGAGCTGAACTCAAAGATCTAGGACATTTTCTATGTACACAAAAGGCCTATTTCTCTCAAATATTCTTCACAAATCTGTCTAAATCTGTGTTAGTCTGCACTTCTCCTTTGCTGAGATAATCCATCCACCTCATAGGTGTGGCATATCTTTGAGTTCAGCTCATGAAAAATGGGGGCAAAAACAAAAGTGCTGCCTTTATAATTGTGTCCAGTGTATATACATCAGGGTTAAACTCTATAAAATCCTGGGATAAACATAAAAAAATTAAATTTGATCTGTTATAGATAATCAAATTTGGTTTGGTATGGTCCTATTTCACGAGTGACTTGGCCCTTTTCCCCTCCTAATAGAGGGATAGGAGATCTAGATAACTCCTTTTCTCCCTCCAAGGATGTCCCCCTTGTCCGTTATAAGTTATGTATGTTTTATTTATTATATTTCACCTGATGCCAGTTGGATAACTAACCGTCTTGGGCTCTTTTGATCCAAGAGAACTATTTCCTTGGACTAAACAAACCTAAGATACATAAATAGAAATATATTGTTTGATCTAACTAGCATTACTGATTTTTTTATGTTAAACACTTTATTTGTATGAGGCAAACTTTTTTAATTGATGCAGAAATCTCACCCATAATATCTTTGTACACAACTGTATGTGAAAAGTATCTATGGAATTTTAATATATTTATCTCAGCTGTGTTAAAACTTTTGCTGCATGGGGAAAAAAGGATTTAAAAAAAATAGTGCACATCCATTTGGTTCCATTGGTCACTTTAAAAGTTGGGCGTGAAAAGGAAAGATAAAAAGTCCCTTAGAATTGGCTACACAAGGACTTTTGGAGATTCTTATTAACTCTTGGAAATGCCTGCTTAACACTTTTTCTGGAACATTATCTATTGGGACACATTTTCAAACACACCTCATTTTACCTGGAATATTGACACACTGTAAACTGTAAACAGATTAATTCTGGGACTTGGACATTTTTCCAGAATTTCTCTTACTTAGCTGTTCCATCTACTCACAGTTTACTTCTTTAATCTTAAAACACTTCACACTCATACACCCATTGGACTGGTAAATCTAACTGGTTTATTTAAAATTTGCCTAAAAACACAATATACCTGGATAATGCTGATACAGATTCCAAAAGTTGGAATCATATTTAGCCAAAGGTAATAATAAAATTCAGGATTTTAGACTGCAGCTGAAAGTATTAAATTAGATTGATTCACTAGTAAATTGCCAAATTTAGCAAATCAAGTGACTATCCTGAGATATTAGTGAGAACTACAGCCAGCAGTGAGCTAGTTAAAGCGGCACTGTCATGGCCAAATCCTGTTTTTTTTTTTTTTAGCCCCCTCCCAACTCCACTACATCTAATTGTCCCCCTAGTCTCCCACAAATGCCCCTAAGCCCCCATATTACCTATTTTTTCATCTTTATTTTGTGAACGGACCTAGGTCCTGGGCGCCGGCATCTTTGTGTTGGTAGATGAAGTCCCCGTGGGACACGTCATCTGCCCACACTAGATAGCACTGTGAAATTCACGCGTATGCCCAGTTAAACACTTGGGCATGCGAACGGGAATTTCATCTATTCATTCATTCTTCAGAAAGACGAATAAATGAACAGAAATTTCAAACGAATGAACGAAGACCTCTTCGTTCATTTGGTTTATTACAAGGAGGGAGCTACCAACTGCTCACTGTTGTAAAAAAGATAAAAGCACCCCCCCCCCCCTCTCTAACAAATAGCCCATAGTGGGGCATCTATTAACTAGCCGGGGGGGGTGCTATAAAAGTAAACTGGGGACATAGGGTCCCCCTTGGCCCCCACCTATCACCCATGAGTGGCAGGTGGGGGCCGTAAATAACAATAAGGGAACAATAAGCACTGCCTTGTGCACACGCACTACATGGTTTCCTAACCCCTACAGTGTAAATGTAACTTAGACTCACAACAGCCTGGAAGTAAGGAAATATTACTCTACGGACAGACACACTGTTCAGAAGTTGTATTCATCCAATATATTGTTTCACCATAATTAGTGATACTTAAGGATATATTTATCAGGTTTCACACTATATTCATCATTTCCTAGAGGCAATAGTACGGCAGCACTGCTGATAAACGCATTACAACATTGCACCACTTGGTTAACAAACCCTCACAGCGCTATCTAGATCGGCATTTGTTTAGTAATTAAAATACACTAACCTAGCTGGTGAATACATGGTTTAGACGCTGTACTGGCACAATGTATCAATCTCTATCTTTAGAGTAACTTGAGGATACACTGTCCCCATTAATAACGTCCTCGATTGATACATTTTATATGTCAGTTTAGGACTGGATCCACTAACACGGTACAAACAGGATAACTATTGAGTTAACAAATATTTTTGTTAATCCCTTTTGTGCCTAAATCCTGAATAAACAGGATTAAAGATTTCGTTTGCTATTATACAATAATACTATCCTTAGACAAATTTAGGCATTTTGTGCCGTTTTTATAGCACTATGCACGGGTGTTGGGTATTTTCCACCCCACTGGTTTTAGTCCGTTAACTATTAAAAGTTAAGTTTTAACATTGAAGGGACTTATTTGCCATCTGGCATTACACTTTTCATTATTTTTGTATATTTACACAGTGTATTGATTTCCTAAATAGGTCTAAAGATTTTAACCAAGAACACAGAGGAAAAGATCTACCCAAATCTTCTTCCCATTTTATAATAGTCTTTATCTTAGTGTTCGAGATATTTCTGTTAATACACTCTCTGATCTTTATTGATTTTTATTTTCCTCCCCCCCCCGGCCCCACCCATGAGCAGCAGGTGCGGGCCCTAAATGAAAATGGGGGTGGACCTAGTGTCCTCCCCCCAGCCCCCACCCCTGAGTGGCGGGTGGGGGCCCTAAATAACAATAAGGGGGAGGGACCAATTGTCCTCCCCCCTGGCCCCCACTCCTGAGTGGCAGGTGGAGTCCCTAAAAGAAAATGAGAGGGTGGACCTAGTGTCCTCCCCCTGGCCCCCACCCATGAGCGGCGGGTGGGGGCCCTAAATGAAAATCGGGGGGGGACCTATTGTCCTCCCCCCGCCGCCACCCAGGGTGACTATGGTTCCACAAGCCCCTAGTTAGCCCGCCACCCAAAACATTTTTAATAAAGACCTACCTACCCACATCACCCTAAAAATAGTGAGGGAGGAACAATAAAACTAAATCTCTGTAAAGTAATCCATCACCCATAGAGGGCATGGCGCTGACGAAGCTTATAAAGCCTTCCAACACCCTGCAATTAGTCTTAGAGCACTCTGATTGGTTGCTTCCAGGTCAACCAATCAGAGTGCTCTGACATGTAAGGTCCAACCAATCAGAGTGCTCTGTGTCATTTTACACAGCGTTGGAAAGTTCCTCGTAATTTTCCCATGCTGTGTAATTTGACTCATAACACTGTGATTGGTTGATTGAAAGCAACCAGAGTGTTGCTATGTTACGCGGTGTAGCAAGTAGAGGCAGAATTTACTAATACTAAGTAATTTTACTTAGTATTAGTAAATTTGGCTGAAAGACCAATTTAGGTCTTTCGACCATTTTGTAGATTGCTCCCTAACACCGTGGGAATTCATTAGAATTAAATTTCGAACCGACATAAAAGAACCTAATGACGTCCTAACATGAATGAACAAACTGTTCTCATTGTGTTAGACAGAACGCCGGCGAAACTATCGAATTTCGTCCTATGTGACAGGACATTCGGGAATACTGACAGGAAGCATTGCAAGGTCATGGAATAAAGGTACGAATTGTGGGGAAATTGCTTTGACCATAAAGGAAACGGAGCACACTTTGTTCCTCCGCTGGTCAAGAGTAGGAAACCTCCATAAGACAAAGTAGTCCCTCCTTTGTCTTATGTTTTAAAGAAAACCAGAGGAGATAGGAAGAAATGAAGAACAGATCCTGACAGAGGTAGAGAAGAAGATATAAAGAAAGGTAAGCTCAGCATGACAGTGCCGCTTTAAATAGCTTAACTGTGTTTATCTTATCTGAACTGCCAACATTTATGCTATGTGCGGTGTACTCTGTCTGAAACGATATCAAAGAATCTCTTAGCATATTTATTTTATTGTTCAAAATAATGGAAAAATCCAGTTGAGTTCTAGAGGTAATATACAAATGTTCAATGTGTATATTTTCTTTAGAAATTAACTTAGGGTTGGCTGGATACTGTTTTTACTTATAGCTGATTATTCACGTGTATTAAAATCTGTACTATTACTTGTTTCGATATACTAACCTCTAATGGTAGATCATTTCTGCAATTTGGTAAGACATAGTTACCAAACATTCACCAATTGCCATGCATGTTTACATTATTTATTATTTTCACAATTATTTTATACATTTTTGTGAATTATTGTGTGAAATATAAAACCTCTAATAAACATGCTCCAGGGTTTACTAAAAATAGTGAGTTAACTCTTAGCTTTAATTGACAAGGGGATACAGTGCCATAATATTGATGTATTTTTTTATATTAATACAAATTAATAATTGTATAATTTTTTCATAAAATATTATTTTTAATATTTTAATTACCCCATAAATACTCTCACATCATATGGCCTCATCTCAAATTAAATTAAATATAGACAAATTGGAAGCTCTTAATGTCACTCTCTCACCCAAAACAGAGGCGCAGCTGCGGGTACAGTTCCATTTCTCAAGCTTCGATATCGAGAACTTCTTCTCCAACTTGGAAAACTGATAGGCTGCGATGGTCGGACCAATATATATCTTGGTTCGACCGTATTGAATATGAAAGTCTTACAGCACCTCCTATACTTATTTCAGACTTTCACAGATACCTAAGGCATTCTTCTGTTCATTATCCTCAACGATTCAGCGCTTTGTATGGAATCAGGGGGGCAGCTCAAATTCGTAGATCACAACTAGTCCTACCCAAGAACTTGGGAAGTACGGTTCTCCCCTCTATGGACATCTTCTATAAGGCAACACACTTTAAGAAAGTTGTCAACTCCAGAATAAAGTCAGTTGTTCCTGCTTGCAGCAATAAGAAGCTGCTTTTCTCTTTCTTTGCTGAAACTATCTGAGGTCTGCTATAATGCAATTGCTCATAGGAGAATTGGTAGTTTTTAGTTAGAATACCCTGCAATACC